CAGTTACTTTTATTGTGGCCATACTATGTGATTCTCCCATGGTTTCCATGTACGAAGTTTATCCAGTACTATTTTCTTGACGCCGTTTTTCACACCTATTTTTTCAATCTATGCCTTTATACCCCATACACTTTCTGTCGTTCACACAAAGGACAAGGTTAATAAAGTTGAAGCACGTTGTCAGGTTACAAGATTTCTCGCACACTTGCTCACCCACTACTATCTATAGCTGCAAATATACTCTCCTGTACCCAGTACTGTTCATGTAAACGTCGGAAGTGATAACTCGAAAGGAATTTCTTCATGTTATAAACTTCTTCATGAACCGTGGTAATAAATACTTTCGATTTGGTCTAAAAGTAAATCTTCTCGTGTTTTGAAGAGGCTTGAACCCATGCATAGTTGTCACCTAGGTTGCAAAACTCAAACGCAAACAGAACAATACTATTTTTGAGAAAGGTAAAGCAGTTCTATATTCAAGAAGCTCGAGAAAGCACATTGTGAGTTGAAAAGAGTCAGAACACGAGTTGTAGGCGGACATAAGTTTGCAATGATTTCATTCTCTAGCCATTAGAATCACATTTATATGAAAACAAATAAACCAGCAGTCGGAAAAAATGTCACCAAGACGATATGGAGAAATAGGGTTGAGGGGGATGGAAACACGTGCGAAAGACCAGATTATGTAGCCAGTAATAAATCGCTTACGCTACAGCTGACTTTCGGCCATTGGAGTTGGATTACTTGGAATAATCTTCGCTGCTTTCAAGGCTCAGGCTTCGAGAGGCGGATACTAATTGCCTTGGCATTTGCTAGTATACGAAGCCTGATTGCTCTTGCCTCGTGTCGTGGGACCCAGTAGATGACTTTGAATGCCGACTACATGTCAATCGAATGAACGGTTTAAAGAGATGTTATCCCTAAAATCCGACAATTTTCTTAGTAGATGTCAGATATCCACGAAGGTTAGTCTAATCATGGATCCAATTATGTCAAAAATTAATTTATTGTGATAAAGGTTCGGTGTGTGTACGAGTTCGCTGAAGGAAAGCAGGAAATTACCTTTTTTCCGGCTAGACACAACCAGATATTTTCAGAAACATCCAGATGCAATCTGGATGTCACAGTGCGTGATGGAAAAATTAACAATGAGAGGAACAGTACCACACACGAAGGAAACACCGAGCAGGTAGAGGAAGAGAGTAGAAATGTCTACTAAAGATCCGTTCTCTACTGCCTAATAAACCTGAGCTTATGAATAAGTGAGCAACTGAGCGATCATTATCGAACTACCCTTGAATAATGACAGGCATTAAAAAAATCCTAAAGAGTTCGCTCAATGCACTGGTTTGAGAGGTTGTGTTCCACTATGCTAGAAGAATTCTATTTCTTACAACCTGAGATCCACTAGGGTGAATGTTTCATATTCATATGCTGACTCGCGCCCAAAACACCGCAGCTGCCATCGATTACCATTGCTTTTTATCTGCACTTCATGATCGTACACACTTTTAAAGGTTAGTAAACGAACTGATGCATCCATAGCTTCAGAACTTCATGGCCGTTTTCTGAATTGCTATTTGATTATTAATCTATACAGATTATTGCATGAAACAAGATATCAGAAAAAAATCTCGTCACGGTATAGGTCTTTTGTGCCTCGATGAGGATGTTTCACGGTCTAAAACCGAATCGTGTTGATAAAAACACATGTCTTTCACTTCCAAAAAACCTTATAAACTTTATAGATTCAGATTTGACTTCAGCAGCAAAAAGTCGCCATTTTCATGAACAGTAACGTATCTTAGGAGACAGCAAAATAATGTAATGCAACGTGTACATTGACATCACAGATTAGCTTAGGATGTAGCTACCAGACGGGCGATTTGCATTAAAATATCTATTTGCACATCTAAAAATGGTGTTCATATCCTCCAAACACGTTTTGATGCATTTTACGGCGCAGTTCTGTTTACAACTCTAAAGAGTGGACAGAGCTTTGTTTTGCGATCTATCTTCTTTGGATTGTTGTTATAAAGGTGTTCCGCGGACCAAGGTAACGTTAAGTACAAATACAGAATATTTTTGCCCGTCTTCTCAGGATTGTGATTTCGTAGATTTCTTTTGAATGGCATAAAATAATGATATCAACAGGTAACTTTATTTTTATGGACAAAGCAGGAATGGCAATAATTTGAGAAGGTTTCGGGCTAGCAGTGGCTACTGAGTAGAAGAGTTATCGACATCAGCAGCATTCTATCCCGAGGTCCATTAGAAGTTCCACGTTCATGACGATCACTATTTAACTACCGTCAAACAAACGTGGTGAATCCTAAAAACGGGATACATTCCATATGTATCTCGTTTCAGGACCATTGATGGACTTCCAATTTCTGCAGTTATCATAATTCAACTTGAAAGGAGAGTTCTCATTGTACTTGATTGAATAATGCAGATTACGTAGATCACATTAAGTGACAGTTGCTTGCACCTCCTTGTTGAATGGCTGGCTGTTCTAAAACTCTATAACGATTACCACATAAGTGAATGATCGGGCGTCAAAGTTTTGAAGCTCTTCATAGTGACTATGGAATGAACAATGTCGTTATTAATATTATCGGTTTAGCTCAGTGTGGAATAGCCACTGGTAAAATGGGTTTCTTTCACGATCCTCCATAATTGTAATGATCAGTCAGTTAAATGTACGGTAAATGTGATTGAAAACAGATCGGGTGTTGGCTCAAAATACCAAGTTAATAACCAGGTTAAATTTGTTGTACAAGGGAGAATTTATTTAACGGGCTACCTGAGTGAGGCATCCTTTCTTGAAGTTCATTAAAATGCGTGAATTCACCTGCAAGATGAACAGGCACAAAAACCAATACAAACTCATTCTTGAGTGGGCAGTACATTGGTTCGTTGGCTTCTCAGTTATTGTTGAATCTAACTCAGGATAAGTCCTAACTACTTTGTCGAAACCAGTGAACGTGATGGGAAAATTGAAAAACTCTTCGACTAACCACTAGCAATGAAAGATTATCTACCCAAGCGTATGATTACCGTGAGCAAGTTTCTCGTTGTCTGCTGAATATCCGCTCTCATCCGCAGAAATATATTTCAATATTGGTTCACTCCTACACATGGATGGTGGAATGCTGCCTGAGTTTTCAAAAATGAAAAGTTCAGTGTGAATTATCTTGCCACTAAGTGCTCTTTCTCGTGGAGGTTAAAGAAGATATATAGAATGTGATCCAGGCTCCATAATCATAGACCGCCGTAGAACTTACCACATTATTATGATCTTCAAACAAGGAGTTCTTCGCCCGGATGAGTGTTTTATAAGACAACAGCTATGAAGCAAAGTTTGTGGTCAAACGGACAGTATAGCACAACACTTACCGCCGACTTTGGAATTCCTGCTTCCCTACCATCAATAAATTGCCTTCTTTGGCAGTAGCCGATATATGAAGTTCTTTTCTGAACGGCATCCCATCATTTTCGAAAAGCGCCGGATGCAGATGAAGGAGTTTTCCTTTTAGTTATAATTTTGGTTGACACGCTATAGGTTTTTTCATGTGAACTAGTACCGAGTTGCTCTTTCTTAGCGCAAGTCATGTAAGAAGGATAGTTGTATTTCCCCGGAATGACTGAGTAGTAACCCTTTGAATTCATATACATATATCTACCAGGTTCACAGCTTTCGCCTGGTAAGAGAAAGACCACTGGTTCGATTCCAGCTCGCTGCTTTGATATTTCCCACGCAAGAAACGCGAGCGGATATTCCATTCGCTTTGGTCAAAGATTATCCCTTCAAGGTAAAGGACGTCGTATGTTGATGCAATCAGCAACGACGAACAGCAAGATCGGCAAGCCAAGCCTCCGAAGACCTTTAACATGACCTGGTAGATCAGATGGTAAAGCACACGCGGTACATATGCGGGAGATGCATACATGCATGGGTTCGTATCCCGTTGAGTTCGACGAATTTTCTCGTCTGGATCAACTCAGCATATTAGAGAAATACTCATTTTTCTCGGAAGAGGTGGTTACTGATCATTAGTGAAATTTATTTAAGGTTGGTTAGCCTTATTGTCATAGGTGAAGTTTGGCATAAGTTAATTTGATTGCTAAGTGCTCGATTACACAAACAAATGATTACTGTACCATCAAAGAGTACACGGAGTAGGACTTCGAAGAAATTTTCTGTGTCCATCCTACTTGGTCATAAGCCAAAAATCTCCTTGAAAAGAAAAAAGAAAATCAAGGGAAAAACCGAATAAAGAAGCACCAAAATCTTTTCGCGGAGAACAAATTTGGAAATGAACAACTAGTTTTATCGCGAAAATTTCCATGTATGCCTAAATTGATGGTAATAGTGACTTTCCTGTCACATTCACCTTTTCCACCTCAATAAAAGCCACATTTTGCTGTAGGGAAAGACATAACAAAATTGAAGCCAACTGAATAAAGAAAGCAAATAAGGTGATTCTCTGTGATTTACTCCACGAACGTATTCCATCACCTCCATTGCAGTGGTTAACACTAAGTTTCAAAGAAAGATAATTTCAGTAGTACATTTTCAGCGTCAACGAGTGAGTCTTTGTGAAATCGGGACACAATAATAGTCTACTAAAGACCATGCAAATATTGAGTAACTATTCTAATGGACTTCAGCAAAAGCATCAGAAATGCATGTCAACTGCATTTAAAAGATGACTGCCGCCGGGAGTCCGTCCCAACTTGACTACCACAAAAGCTTCAATAAAATGAACAAAGAAACATTTTTCATAAAGTAACCTCGGCTCATAATATTATTCTGACGGAAGAAGACCTTAATTCTGAAAGGCGATTTTTCTCAGAATTTATTCAGTGGTCCACAAATGCGCGCAAACATAACACTCAAAAGATTGCTTATTAGGGGCTTTACTGAACCATTATTCAACAACTGTATACAACGTACGGATAAACCTCAATGTTATTCAGCTGGATTTGCTAGTTACCTCTATCATTTTATCCACTCGTTCGTCGATGGCCGTTGATTCTCGGTCATTTTCCGACTTTGGACGTAAAAGGTCGAATATGGCCGTGGCCACTTCACGAACTTCGGATCGCGTGATGTACCCGTCCCCGTTCAGATCGTACAAATCGAAAATCCAGTCGATTTTCTCCATTTCGGATCCTCTGGTAATTTGGGATAGGGAACGAGCAAATTGCTAGGGGATGAATTAGATCAGAATGAGAGAAAGCACATCAAAACGAACTGGTAGTAGCAGTAGTAGTAATAGAAATAGTATTAGTAACAGTAGTAGTAGTGGCAGTAGTAGTGGTGATAATACTAGTGACGATAGTAAGATTCCTTCTTTAATAAGAAGTGATTTAGACAGAAGCTAATGATTGATGTGCATGTGTGTGAAATCAGTGCCATCCGTTGGGGCATCCAGTCGTGGTTTATTGATACTTCATAACAAAAATGCTTCTTACACACATCAAGTGAGAGGGTTTGTAATTTATACCGAACAAAATAAAAAAACGTACAGCTTTTTTAGATTTTACAGCGATTTCACCACGAGTAGTTTAAAAATATATTCCGGCTGTTTTACGGTCAGCGTAAAAAAATGTTGCGTATATCGCAAACGTTAGCAATTACCAGTCGTTATTATTTGACGAACCGAAACAGACAGACCTCTGTAATAAATGGGACCAAGTGAAGTTAGAACAGTAATCACTGAAAGAATAGTATTGGAAGTAGGTAATGAAATATGGAATTTGTATATAATGCGATTCGTGAAACCTTATGAAGGATCATTTATGCATTGTAAAGGTATCTGATAGAGCTTGTTAAGAGTCGTCACCTGTGCACACCTAAAGAGCTATGACCGAGATTCGACCACAAGGATTAACGGTTGCGAGTCAAACGGTGCTATATCATGTAGTACTGATGATCGACAAACTATTGTGAGCCAGTCCGGAGAGCTTGTTGTCTAACTGTTTGACTCAAAATTGATCACCCCAGCTGAGAACTCCACTGGTGGCTCGGTGCATGTGAACTCCTGATGATTCCTAACAATCCAGATGATACTGGTCTTACCTGATGAGTTTAAAGTGGGCCAAGCGTACTGAGCCATAATACACACCAATGTAAAATTCTACTGATTATATTTAAAACAATATTAATTTCAACGAGCCCACTTATACGGTTATGTGGCACACCGAATAGACTACACTGTGATACAGGACCAGTACATCATATCACTTATCCGACTATTTGCAATTAAGTTCAACGGAAAACCATGAGATCACGTGCTCAAGTGAAGAACCGTGTAGGTCTAACGTGACAAAGAACCCATCGAGTATATATATATATATGTAATATACATATATATACGATTAGTATTACAGGATTAGATTTGCAAGATATGATTCAATAAACAGTATTATCGCGCATCTCACCACCGAAAACCACAAATATACTACACAGCTACTTGATCCTTGTTGGGGATCATCGTCATCATTGCACATCCACCGAGCCTACACGATTGTGAGTCGAACACCGAAACAACAGTCTATCCGGGCTGGCTCTCAAAGGTTTTTTTTGATGAATTCTCTATCACTACTAGTCGATTAGACTGAACAACCAATCACCCCATTTATAATACGAATGAAAGAAACTAAGTTATACTAACAAAACAAAAGAATAACTGAGTAGTGTACCTCAATTCCCACGTGATATTGATGACGGTTCACTTAAATTAAAAAACAGCTGTTCTCAGTAATGGTATCAGCAGAAAATAGATGTCCTCAACACGCAATAACTGGTATATGTAAATGAAAATGTGAGCTCTACTGCGCTCACTTCTAAATGACAGCTGACCAACCTGGTCATCAGGAGCAGCTTACAAAAGTAGTCAGTATTTCTCAACAAATCATTGTGGCGAGGACGCCAGAGCTAAGTAAATGATATTCACTTTTAGAGAAACATGAATAAAAATATCACATTAATGAAGAAAAGGCCAAACGAGTCTGAAAAACCACGAGGCTTGACCATATTTTCTGAAGACGAAAATAAACGATCTGTTTGCAACATTCGATTTGGGCTATAGACTTTGATCTGTCTGATAAATAAACAAATAATTTAAAATATCATAAGTTCGGTCCTCATGTAAACTGATCACCTGAGTTTGTGCTAAGTCTTCTGAGTGAGTTTTAGAAATTTACTTATTAGATGTACAATGAAAGCTTAAGTTCAGAACAAGCTTTTCATGTTTATATCAGATGAACCATGTTTATTGTCAGTCATCTTGACAAACTGATGGTAGCCATTTTGATGATTATTGAGTTTTCGCAGCTGCGGATGTTCGTTGAAGACAGATGAGTTAGAAAGCTTAGGCTGCCAAGTCGAAGACACCACAGTGGAGTAGATTGGAAAAGATACAGCGGCGTTAGATCTTTCTTGTAGAAAATTTCAAAAATGGCAAGAATGTTATAGTCATCCTTGACTGGTTTCATTCCATCCTAGTACACGCTGAATTATCCCGTGAAGCAGTTCACCATGTTGCATTCGCAAGCAGACGGCCACCATCTATGATAATTTTCAGTGACATTGCCAAGTCAAATTCAGCTAGATTTGGTACTTAGCTTTAGTCAGTGTAAATCATGCTCCAGGGCACCATCTTTCTGGGTTCTTAGAAAATAAATCTGGCTGAAAGAGATCAAATCACAGTGTTTTATAAATCCATAAATTGATCCCATAGGACGAAGATTTGCGCTGCGTGCTCAAACCAAATATACGCAAAAGAAAGAGTAGTTCAGGAACTAATCTGAGTTTCTGGGGTTTCCATCACCCTGTGATATATTATACTGAATGGACCGGGTAGTATTTTATTGATAGTTATGCGTCTACTCACACGGATCTTGAGATCACGTGTCAAGAGAAAGCAAAAAACCAGGTTAGTAAAATCTGCAATTGGGTAGTAGGAGATTCGATTTGTATATAATATGATTCATCATGCAGCTTGAACGCTCAACTCACCATTGAAAACCATGGAAGCACTGTACAGCTGTTTCATCCTTGTTGGGAATCATCAGCAGTGCACATCCACCGAGCCCCCACGGGGACTCGAACCCGGGGTGAACGATTGTGAATCGAACACCTTAACCGCAAGGCTATCTGCACTCGCTCTCAACGGTTTGTTGAACATCTACACTACATGATATAGCACCCTTCCGTCACTGGCTTCGAACGGAAACAACCCGCCTCCCACACAGCGATCGACTCCTATGATGGATGACTTCTCTGTAGGGGACTAAGTACAACGAAGGCATTCCGTTATGAACAACCTACAGAGCTTGGTTAATATTTGCAATTGAGTAGTAGGAGATTCGATTTGTATATAATATGATTCATCATGCAGCTTGAACGCTCAACTCACCATTGAATGGATGTGCACTGCTGATTATTCCCAACAAGGATGAAACAGCTGTACAGTGCTTCCATGGTTTTCAATGGTGAGTTGAGCGTTCAAGCTGCATGATGAATCATACTAGTAAAATTTATTGAAGGAACGATAAAAATTGTGATGAGGTTTAGATACCTTTTAGATGAAATGATTTGCTTTGCACTGTTATTTTTTATCTCCAGAAGAATCTAGATTTTGGACGACAGACTCAAAATTAATATAATTATTGAGAAAATCTTCATCACGAATACATTAGAAAATATGGGATATGTCAGCTGTCTGGTGACAGGCAGGTTGCCATGATCAATGATTTCGCAAGTAAAAAACTGACTTGACGTTGTTTATGAACGGAGTATTTGAAAGCCATAAGGCAGGTAAGTAGTTGAAATTCTTTCAGGACTTTTCTACCAAGTAGGGATTGTTCTTTTCAGGGACTACAAGAAAATGTTCGTATATATTATGAACTTCAAACCTGCACCATCTACTTTAAAAAGTTTAGGTTTAATAGTATCGAATTTATAGAACCTAAAAAATGACATTGTACACTTGATGCAGTCGGGAAATTCACTCGAGAATAATATGCTGTAGTTTTCTTAAGACACTGTGAACGATAAACATTATGTAGAAATTTATTTAGAGGGGAAAAGCGAAAACCTAATCAAAATGCTTTGAAAAGCTTTGACAGCGTTTAAATCAAAATAACCTTGAAGAAACGTGAAGTGGATATGGCTCCGACATCTTTTGCTGATAAAAACAGTGTGAGGTTGAAAAACGTGCCCAACATTACCTTCCAAAAGTAGATTTCCGTAGCTAGTGATCACAAACAGAAAAATAAACGTTACGTAGTATCAAATAATAACCTTTTGTCGGTTCACGTATTTGATCGTGCCACATGTTCAGCCAAATCCACCTTGATTTGCTACCTACCTTACTTCGTGACAGTTTACAAAGCCCTTGTCCCTTTGACAAACGCCAGAAAATAGCAAGCGGACACATTTCCAGTGAAAAGGAGCTCTACAGTGTTCACAGAAAGAACTGTACTTGTCCAACCCTGGCTGCCACTTTCGAGCGCCACATGTATCTGCTGGGCCAAAATGTATCAAACTGGACGGTGCTCCTTCGCCTTTAGCTAAAATAATCCAAACGCATGCGACAAAAATGGGAACTCTTGACTACAACACCATCGGTAAGCTGGCTTCCCTCTCAACAACTGAACCGGAAAAGACAGGACAAAAGCTGACGGAATGAATATAACATTGATGAATTATCCAGAATCCACACTGAAACTCGCCAGTGTTACACTTCCATCCATGTATGCGAAACACAACAACGAGACGACGCGTGCATTTTTCAACACTTGTTCAACGCTAACACAACCTCACCTTAGGACTACTCAGCGAGCTAAAATATGTTTTTGCAATAATCTATTTTCCTTGCTTGACCATTCTAGCTAGTCCAGAAAGGGAACTGTATGATTCGCATCTTATCAAAACGATCGAAACAGACATTGATAGACAAGTTAGTGGGTTGAAATAATAGAGATGCTAATGGATGCAATGCTTTCTTACCCTGGGAAAACAAAGTCAAACGTGGTTGAACGACGGACATCAAGTCTGTCCTAAACATTAAGCTAAATGAATGTAGAGGGATACTGTGTACTGACAAATGGTTAACGAAAAACCTAACTTGTTGCTGATTTCTATCCATAACTGGACTGACCATGGTGACGAACGTTCAATGCATTTGGCGTAGCTCATGGTAAGCCAGTCAGAAAAGGTTCCCGGTAAAGTGCAAAACCAAACAGGGAGGTAACCTAACTTTTTCTAGATATAAGAGAGTGTTTCGAATTCACAAATTCCCCTTCAGCCTGTGACTTTTTCTGTTATGCTCCTTATCCTCTAGGCTTGTCAGATCAACAAGAATACGGGTTTGCGTATCGAAACTGAGTTTCGTTTTGGAGAGCGTCTCGAGAGCAATGTGACATCTGACACATTTTATATAACAGATTCTTTGTTGGATAAGTCGTATGACCAGCAATATTCCCGTCAAAACTGTTACCGAAAATTGATACACTATACCGTGCATACGCCTGAATATTGAATCCCATGAGTATCATAAAATTTCAGTCTTTTACTATTACGGGGCATATTCATACATGTAGACAAGTACCTTATAGTTCATTCACATTTGTGACGAGTTATCGGAATCTCATTCACTAATATTTAGAAGAAAGGTTCAAAACTATACGATTGTAAAGCCTCAGGCAAAAACAGTTTTCTGAAAAGACTGATTTGTCCTGAGATCAGCACACAAGACTTAAAGTCTTTTTTCAATCTATGTTCAACTAAGAATAACATTTTACTTTTTGTTTTTCTACTGCCTTAATTTGACAGTTACATCAAAGGTTGAAGATTCATAAGCTTCGTGGAAGTCAGTGACCGATAAATAAGAATGAAGAACGACGTGATCGTAATTGTTTGCCAAGTTAGTTTTCTAAGCACAAATGTAACAACACTTAAGAGAACAAACTGCGGCCATTTCAAATCTGTTCCTATGAGAGGCAGAAAGAAGGCTTTTGTGACATCTGGTTCCCCGATTTATTGATCCATTCTTATTTTGCTCTGATCCTTACCTAGTTGTACCGTCGCAAACATGAATGTGACTGACTTAAGAGGGCGTCGGCTAGGAAAAATCTGGGCTAAACTCTCTCCGCCCACATAAATGTTCACCTGAACTAGTAAGCTAGAAAAAACCATCACACGTGGAAGGAATAAAAATGTGGAGAAAGATGAATAGCAAACTCCGGGTGTTTTATACAGTTCTGGACCTATCGGACACAGGTACAAGCTTGATTGACGAACGTTTGCAGTAGAGCTGAATATGAACAGTCATGCATCAGTGAGGTATTTTCCTGAGAGCAGATAAAGTGAGTTCTAGTTACGCGAAATAACCGTATTTTGTTTGGTCAAGATTCAACGAGATTTCAATCGTGCAGAAAATCAATAGGAGAAAGATTTATCAATGGATACGAGAAATCCTTCCAATACATACTCTCACCTCAAAAGTCAGTTCACCGGAATGTTCTTTGTCAAATACACGGAAACAGAGTTGTGCGTAACCGGAAGAAGCTGAATCGGAAGTAGATCACGGGGAGAACTTTGACTACAAAAACATCAAGATTAGGCACAGAAAAATCACAAGCAAGTCCTTGTCGGCCCAAATACTGACTGCGTCCATCTTCCCTAAAGATGGAAATTCAAGATGGTTTCAGGAATATATTATTTCGAAGGGGGCAAATTTGATACAGTGAAATGATGTTGAAAATAGCATAGAATTCAGCAGATACAATTTATCAGAATGGAGCAATTCTACTGGCTCCCAAAATAGCCCGGTGAAAGTAAAGACATTGCCAAAAAAGGCAAGCATATTTTCGTTTGTTGGAGAGAAGTTAAAAATGGCATCTGCTATTTATTGGTTCGTTTTGCTAGTTTAATTTCCTAAACCATGGTGAAGCACAAATATTGTTCACGAACTTTAAAAGATAATACCCTCAGTAGGTTGCCTGTGGAATATACTAGTTTTGAGTAAAGCTCAACACTAACGTTCTACATGGCATCATTTTAAACCAGAGCTGTTCAAACTTTGTTAGGTAATTAGTAAACGAAATCGGATTTGAGAATTCATGACTTCACAAGGCCATTCAAATAATCTTGTTACGGGAACTAGACTGAAAGTAATTGAGAAGTTCCTAATCCGGAACAGTTGCTGCTTGATAGAAAAATCATAGTTTACCGCAAATAACCATATTTTGTGATGATACCATGTTTTTTTTGCGTGAAAAATTCTGTTACATGTCTAATATAATCATAAAACAACAATAAGATAGAAGCGGGGATGCAACGTCGTACGGCACTTTGATCCCGGGTGCTAATTACAAAGAATGTAAGTGCTAATGAAAAAACGTATTTGAACCCTTGTAATTTGGTCATGATTCAATATTTTTCCAAATGCAACTGTGTAGGTGGTTGGATCTTTAACCTCCAAGAGTAGGCGTTTGATATTCGGCAACATAGCGTTATCGGAAATTATGTTGGCCAGTAGAATTCTCGATCATTGCGCGTAACCTCCCTCAAGATCTGTGTATAATCGACATTTTCAGAAATGTTTTCGGCTTCCACACAGTAGATATAATCCCAAACTTTTCTGTAATGAGTTATCAAGTAGAGATTTCATATTTTCAAACGCACTCTAAAGGTTTTTCCTTATCTCCAATTTCTACTGAAATGACCTCTTTGAAAAGCAAAATAAGTGAAGCTATTATTAATTCATTTTTGTTCGTAATAGGTAAGCACGGAGAAAAATTGGCCCGGTTAGATTTTAATAAGGTAAAGCTTTAGTATATATGGATCAAGTGTTGCATAGATGAGATAACTAGCCCGTACCGATGAGAAATATTATAGTTATAATGTAAATCATAACTCCATCATATCTTTCGAATCGCTTTCAAGAAACAAACCGCTCCACCTGAATATTCTTGCAGTGAAATAAGTAGATGTTCAGAACAGCATTTTCATTGAGTATCTCCAGGCTAAGCAAAGAACACTTCAATAGGGAGAAATAATGAAGCCTCAGCCACAGAGATGGTGCTCTTGCTGAGGCGGAATCCAAGTATGGTCCCGTAACACGGAGCACATATGAAACGGTTAGCCTTGTTTGGCAACGGAACAACCGCAGGGCCATTACTGGACAACAAGGACAATAGGGGATCGGTGGAGAACAAGTTCTCACGTATTTATCCATCTGATTTGGAAAGTCGGATAGAGGCGAAAAATAAAAACCAAGTTTTCACTAAAGATGGAAAATACGCGCCCTTTGTGCGTCCTTCTTCGACGTAAAAAATCGTGAATATTTTCACCTCCTTTTAGGTTGGACATACTTTATCAGCCGTTGAACTGGGAATTGAAGAAAACTGCCGGCAGAAAAAGATCAGTAATAAGAATTCCCCTACGCTTGAATTAAGCTAAAGTCTGCATCTTGCACGAACTGAGACAAACAAGATTGTTTAAGTTTCAGGGATCGAAATTTCAAGAAAAAAATAGAATCTTTTGAAGTAAAACTAAATGAGTTCGCCGCGAGGTATTAGGAAGGTTAAAAAATAGATGAATTTCCATTGCATTGCTACCATGGTCTGGATGACACATTTGAAAATCTGGCTAATCCAACTTCTAAAAATAATAAAATAAAACCACTATGAAATTGAATTACAATATGCTCCGAGACTGCATCCAAAAAAACTACTGTCAACCGTGCTCGAAAAAGTGACAAAAATCCATTTTATCTGCGCTGTTTTGACTCCCTGCCTTCAACTGATGTCCGGATGCCTCTCGTCAACGTCGATTTTGACTACAGCTTCAGTTGCTCGAAACCATTCCAAAAATTTTGCAAGCTGCATTGAGGTCGTCCTGTCCTTTACGAACAACTCGAAAATGGAATACTTAGTGCCGCTAGCCCACTCTTCAGTTAACAACATAACAGCTTAACTTCTGTTGTACAAAGTCACAACTCGTCGAACCTTATTATCCGGAGGTGTTACGAATAAATCAGCCAGAACTGAAATCAGTAAAGTTTCCTTGAAAACTCCTTCAATCTGTTTCAATTTAATCCTAACAACCATAATATAACATCTACTGTTCAAAATATCAAAAATGCTTTCAGATATTGCAACCTTATCGCAAAATGCTTCTGTCTTTTTCACCCAGTCCTGAGTTGCAAAATAGGACCAACCAATAAGTGTCTCATAAAAGCGATTATATGAGCTAAGCACATAGTAGTGAACTGATGTTGTCCGTTGATCGAATGCCTTTTTGGCTTCTCTAATTTTCAGGTTTTGGAATATCGGTGCTGCTAATGAAACAAGTTTCTATCGACCTTTAAAATCAAATACATTTTAATAATTAGAACTTCAGTAAGGAGTAATCCACACTGGCAAAACGAAGACAGTTACGCTTCCAGATGATCAAACAAATTTTCAGTTCGAAAATGTGTTTGTCAAAACAGTTTTTGGGATGGGCTGGAAGTTTCCTTGTTCACCAAAACATTTCTGTTCTCAGTTTGAAACAAACAAAAGCACTGAGCATCAAAAGAAAAACACAATTTTTTTATTTAGTACATTTGTTCATTCTTGAAACGCGGCCACAAATCAATGAACTTCGTTACCGGAAAAATTAATCTGTCCAAAAACGTTAGTTTGGATTCCAAAGTGCTTCTCCTTTTTTAGTTTGACTGGTGACAGGAAAAAAGATCACCGGGAGGAAATTTCTGAACGACTTCCTTATAAGTGGGAATGCCAGTCTCAACGGGAACGACGATTCTATCTATTCAGGCAGGCTTGGCTAACTTCTGCTTGCTTACGACCCATCTTCAAACACCTCTCATCGTGGGGTGTGGACCAGGTTGAGTGTAATTTTGTTTGAACTAAGATGAGTCTAGTAAAATGGTAGAGGACATTTTATGGTGTGATATTTTCAAATAACCAGTAAATAACAGCCAATAGTTTGGACGTATAACAGCCGCTTAGGCTTGCATAACTCACATCTTCCCGGGAAGAAGCTTTGGTAAACTGATATGAAAGTGTTCTTGTTGGCATATCCAGTTGGACAAACCTTGAGTATGAAACAAATAAATGAATAAATCAGTAGGATTTCTACATGGGGTAAAAAACAACCAAATTTAGGTTTTCCAAGATAGCTTGTTTAAAACTATTTCTAATCACATCTATTTGAAAGGAAAGTTAAATATCCGAAATTTCGTTCTCAGAAGAAGTGACCAATTTTGGGTATAAAAGTCTAAGCAGGATAAAAGGTTAACCAAATAATCGGGTTTGCGTTTTCTATGCGAAACGATTACTTGTCGGCTCTAAATGACTGAAGATCTTGGCAGGACTCATACCGAATAATACCTTCCGGACCATGGTTAGGTGATCGTGATTTCAAGGCGAGCTGATAATTTGGAAATACTTCTCCTGCAAATCTCACTTTACGCTTCAATAATCAGTCATCTATGTGTTCATCGGTCAAGGAAAACCGCTTGTTTTATCCTTCGTTGAGAAAACTTGTCAAAATTAGTTCATCAGCTCTCTCACTTGAACTAACACAATCAAAAATGAATTTTCGTTTATTGACGCGGTTCGAGCACACCTAAAATTTAGGTAAGACCATTCCAGTCGTGAGCAAATTACTTGTTTGCCAAATTGTTATCTGAATCAGATATTGTTTTAAAAAACAACGCAAGCAGTACCCGTTTTTGTTCAAATCTACTTAACAGTGCACGTCAAGTTAGTCTGATTGTCTGCGTTGCAAATACAATGTATCGACTCCACTCAATATTGCCTGAAAAGCAGCAAGGGAAGTTAGCTTTCAATGGTAAAGTGCTGTGTTGGTCGTCCATATTTGTCATCTAAAAGAATGAAACTCGTTTTTTCGAACGAACAGAAAATGAAAAGGTAGTCCAGCACTGAACGACTCATCGCACGTTTAATTTTCCCCCTTAAAGCGAACGTTTGAAACAAAACCAGTGGTATCAACGCAAAACGTGATATCTAGGTACTGAGTTCCACTAGATGCACCATGTTTAACAGAATTGAACAGACAACCCATGAACTCAATCACATTGATGGGATGCTTACATTTTCTTAATAAATAACTCCAACTCTACCTTTGTACAACCATTCTCGAGCCCAAATCTCATTTAGTTTACCGCATCACTTTAAATATTCCCTGTTTGCGACTCTGATCCAGGAGTTTGTCCTTGCCACTTTACCTAGGCGCTGACGGTATGTCTTTTAACTTGTAGCACGATAACATCCAATGTATTCCCTGATGCAAATACGAAAAACCAACAGGCAAACAAAACGGATATTTATTAAGGTTTATTGATGTGGTGTTGCTTGCAGACTTTGTTTTAACGCTTCTGTGTAGAAATCCTTTTCTGATTCAGAGAGCGTTTGACATTTGGACGGCAAACGGCAATCTCAGGCTTTGCTCTCTCTCTCCGCAATAATATATATATATATATATATATATATATATATATACTTATATAAATAAGTTTGAGTTTTAGGCTGCTTTGGAAACTATTACCTTCATTGGCCAAGTTTTCAAGACATCACGGAGAAAACTTCATCGGTGGTGCTGGTGTTGTACCAGATTATTTGCAATAACTAAAAATGTCTCGGCCTTTATTCGGCGTCGAAAGTAAGCAAGTAAGTTGGACTGTTCACCATGACCTCTTACTCAGTTTTACCATTGATCACGCAAAGTACAGGACCAATGTAGTGGATAGGATTTGCCAGTCAACAGTCTCAAGTTATGAGATAGCGGTGAATAGGAAGAAAGCTTTCAATTTTAGTTCACCTTCTTTTGAAATCCTTTCTTGATTGAGAATAAAAGTAGTTTTGCTTCATTAGTTAGCCGAAATTTTGATTTACATCTTATGCATCTCATTGAGCAGTAATGACTATCAACTAAGCACTGACAAACATTGAAACACCGTAAAGATATTTCATCTGGCCCGTGAGAGTCATCAGCAGTCCACATCTCCATAGATTTAAACCCGAAGTGGACTAAGCGATATGAGAATTAGAAAGGTCATCCATCATGGGAGCTGATCGCAGTGCGAATGATCGGTTATACCCCTGCAAAAAGTCAGTTACTGCGGTACATCAAGTGGTGTTGACGCTCAGAAACCTGATGAGATCTCCAGGCAGCCTTGCAATTAGATGTTCACCCCACATTCGTTCATCCCAGGTCAGAGCTTCATTGGGGGCTCGAGGGGCGTGTACTGTTAATGATTCCCAGAAAGCCGGATGACACAGCTGTTTAATTCTGCGCAGTGATGGAACACATATTAGGTAAGTTCATGTTTAAAAATGTTTCGAATAGTAAACCTCTGCCGAACCATCCGTTTATAGCAATTTGCACCTCTCTGACCATAAACGCTTCTTAATTCAGTTTCGTTTAGTTGAATAAACAAGAAACACTGAAGCTTGTTTGGCTTCTTTAAAGGAGAGAAAATAATCAGTTTTAAATGTATATGGTTTTGAACTTTATCAAAGATGAACAAACCTAACCCATCTCTATTAGACCCATGAATATTATACTTATAAACGAACAGAACGTTATCTCTTCTGTACACACGAACTCATGAATAACTGGTCTGGTTTTGAGTGATCGAAGTATGTACTGCGAATTGTTCTTGTGCAACGAAGATTGGCCATAATCGGATGAGTTTGGAAGTTAGTATTGTAACACCGGGGAAAAACTGTTAGCCAAAATAAACAAATGCAATAATGTTGATGACATACTGTCAGCGGAAAATAAAAAATGACCACAAACGGATAAAATTTCACCTATTGGCAACACACTTTTCTTTCGTTACATTAACTGACGAGAGAGCGCAAAAAAGGAGACTGACTAATCACACAACCGCTACGCTGTTTTGGCAGACAGGCACGAAATCATCACGCAACAAATAGTCGTTTTTCATTGAAATAAGCCCACTTTATTCACTAAGGCTAAGCAGTGCGAGTAATGACTTGATGTTCAGTGCACTGATTGGACGGAAAAATTAGGCGAAATGCAGTCAGTAATTTTGTGGGTTTGATAAGCATGGATCACGCACGGTAAAAATGACAGAAATGATCGTAGACGGAACAGAATACCCGCTTCGTTTCGTTTGGGGGAAAATACTGCATTGGGAAATCGGTATGGAACGTGTGCGACGACAAGTTGAGCAACAACAGCCTTACCATCCTCAAACCAGAATCTTTGAGTAACTATTATGGATGCACCCTTGGGTTGCAAAGTTGGCCAATCTTTCTCTAAACGGTTTGTCTTTCACCTCAATTTCACGAAAAACCACGGCTTACAGAACTCCCGCCTCCAAACGGTCTCCTCGGACAGATAATACAGCCGCAAAAGGATAGGGTGAAAGACTCCTCAGCAAGTGATAAACAACTTAGCTTCCCTATATAAGTCCTCCTAGCAGTATTCCAAATTGATATATGATTTCAGTGAAATTAAGAAATGTGGACGACTGGATGATGAGGCGAATTTACGCTTTCAGAACCCTATCGGGCGAGAGACACTGAATTATCTGCGAAATCTATTTCTGCTAGTGATATTGAATGAACATCCCAAAAATGTTCTCCAAAGTAGATTTCGGAAAAGATTCGAATTCATCGTGAAGTTTTGAATGGCGCATCCAATTAAGTCATTTGGAACACAAGAGGTGAGACAAGCTTCGCTGACTAGCAAAGGACATCACCTTTTTCAATAACTTTAGATACACTTCTTGAGACTGGAAAACAGAACAAGGAACTTGAAAAGCAAGTTTATTACCCTCACAGGTGGGTAGTAAATGTAAGGCCCACAGTTGTGGTCTATGGGCAGAGTCTAAATCTAGGAATTATAAATAAGTGATGAACAGAGGTGGATGAATCTTAGGAAAAGCGACCTCCGGAAAACGATATGGTTCTGTCAACAGAATCATGCCACTGCAAACTAATTTCATTAGTGTTCAGTGGTGAATAGTTCGTATTTTTACCACCAAACTAACCAGTGACCTTGTTGGATCCATTGCAGAATAATTTCCTTTCTAAAGATTCGCAAAACACTAAGTGAAGCATCAAAACTCAGACAACAGCCAAAGGCCAAACCTGTCCATTTTCTTATACATCGGACTAATATTGGCAAAAACAAATCAGTTTCAACTTGCTGAATCTTTTCATAATTTGATGAGTAATTATCCTGACCGAATGAGTAGAAACCTGTGAACCTCAGAAGATTTCCTGTCCTAAAATATATTTCAAAAATTCAGTGAAAAAACAATAAACTCACTCTTTTAAAACCTTGGTAGATGGCCTGTAGCTCCTTCCGGCTGAATCGTGTAAGAGTCTCCAATTTGTTTAGGGAAATTGGCTTGGCCTGAAGCTCGGGTGCAGTCAGATCCACACTTGATAAATCTGAGAAGCAAATTATTAGTTAACAATTCTTGGTAACCGAATACACGTGATAGTGAATAACAAATAAATCACAAGAAACAGTATATAATGTTCCAAGGTTTAGCTGCAATTGAGAGTCAAACATCAAGTAGTGCGGCCTACCAAAATGAGTCATATTTGAGATCCAGAATGTCATGCATATTATCCTGCAGTCAGATACAAGGTTAAATAAAGCTTCTTATTTCCCAGGGATTTCATCTCCTGTTTATAAAGTTCCTATTGTGAAGAAAGTTTCGGTTAATTACTTATAATCAGCGTAATATTCTGTCATTCTGACATCAGATGCCCATGATTAAAATCCTTTAGTATATATTAGTGCATATATTGACCGGTAGTCACAAGGATGCAGCCACTTGGAACACATCTCGTGTTGCAAATCGATGGTACCTTCTGGCTGCCCTGAAAATAAGCCTCAACCGATTACACTCAGCATGCTGTTTATACTGAATCGAAAAAGTGACAACCACTAGGGTACACCAGCTAGGCGTACGATAATCACTATATCAGATTCCAGCCTGGACTCCGTGACAGGGTCGACTAATGTCGGTACCAGTTAACTCATCCTCACTAAGTGTGGCATCTTTAACTTACGTTGTGACCATGTCACGCAATTTTATAATCCGTCCCTGTGGTTGGTCTCTATGTCAAACTTTTCCGTATAGCTCGTACAGCTCATCAGAAAACTTTGGTTCCCAACTACTAATATCGCTTACACGACCTTTTTTCCCGTTGTGTCTCTCGCTGTTTCCACGCCCACTTAGTCTAAGCAATGATCTATCTGCCTCGTTGTTTTGTCTCAGTAATGATCCCCAGTATTCAACTTACATCCTCATTGACTGGTATTCTGTGTTCTTGTCTGTCCAGTCAAAGGCACTTATTCAAGTTTCCGTGACAGTCAAATTAGATCTATGCACCTTTGCCTTACCTTACTGTATGCCTTGTCACCTAACTGTTTTCCATCTTTTCTTTATGATCGTTCAGTGTTCACGAATTCGTGTTTTTTGCTCGTTCAGTGAAAGTTTGTTTTGGTCTTTTGTTAGGGTCATCTTCGTCCCTCTTCTCCCCACCCCCGCCCCCTCTTTGTGTCCCTTGAATTGAACTGCCATTTCGAACTGTCACCGACCGCCGATCGTGATCGGTCATGTTTCTCCACCTGCACCATACTGCCAGTCCCATTGTTTATTGTTCGAATTCGCTCTCGACCCTGCCTGCTAAAGCTCGCTACCTATCGAATATGGCATTTGATCACCCTTGACCGGCCTGTACACTGTGGCCGAACCTCCCACACATTGAGGTATGCACTCATCAGTGTTCAATCTCGTCCCATTTTGTGATACACGTAGTTTACCAACTACAAGTCCTCTGACTAAGGATTCGAGGTTCGTCTTCTACCAGTTACTCAACCACGGGGCTAGATTCCGGTAAAACCTAGTTCCAAAATCATTCGGATTTAACGGTTTCCGAGGACTTCTGCATCATCGCATTTTCCGCTTTAAATTTTCGCGCTAATCGCAAAAACACCTTTTCAGTAACTGATTGCTAATTCGTCAGCCGACTATTTGTAAAAACAGAGCTCACCTTTAGTAACCGGATATCATAATGTTTCCTAATTTTCAACATGAATACTTCTATACGTAACAGCACTAACTTTGTGTGAAATACGTAGGTCATATTGAAAACGGAATACGTTATCATAAGATTACAGATTAAAAACCTCAGTTCCCACAGCACTGTTGTGCAATTTACGGATTTCAGCTGCCATTTCAGGGGAAAGATGTGAATTCAGTTATATTTGTGATTTTATATTCTTGGAGAAATTGTAACTTATCCCTTGTTGCCTATTAAGTCGGTCTAAATACAAAAGGCCCCTGGTGGGATTTTAACTCATGTGTGGATACCAGCCATGCCCCGGTACAGTGCGTGCTGTACCGGTCAAGCTATTAGACTTTGCCAACGGGTTTCATGCAGTAGTTTTGTGGTGCCGAACTAGTTCGGGGCCGGTAGCCATAACGCGTTTTTACGCTACTTCAGTAAAACCGGGCAAATCAGTGCATTTCATGCCGACCAACACTACATGCCGCACATTTTTTCGGTCTTTTACAGGTCAGTGGTTTTGAAACTATAAAAGAAATTTTGTTACAGACGGGGGCTGAAAACATCAAAGCTTTTAAAGTCAGATCTTATCAAACTCAAATTTCTAGGTAAATTGGAACAAAGCAAATGTTCATCCAACCACAATCAGATATGGTTAGAAAGCCGCAAACGATAACACTTTTAAAATTATTTGGTAAAACCTGGTACTTCTTGCGTGACCACATTTTTTGCTGCAGCTCAACATGATAGAACTCTCAGGATGTCAAGGTCAAACTATCTAAAACCGGCTGTGGTCAAGTGTAACTTGTTCGAAGTTTATTCGCAATACACAAATAATGACCCATTCATAAACTATAACGGCTCTCGGGTGAAGATTTAATAGTACAAGCACTGGTTTTCAAAATACTTCTGATTACCGTCTAGGGAATTGTTGTTTTGCAACTTGGCGCATCACTGTCAGTGACTACTCTGCTGAAGTCTCGTTGGTAGACGATTATATGGGCTGAGGGTATCTAAAGACAGATTTACACGAGGTAAAATTGTGGATTTATGAGTAATCACATTTTACGTGAAGTTTTACGCGAGCTTTGCATACGATTTTGTAAAAAAACCGCCCGATTGTTTGTGCTATCATGTGCACGGTTTTTAAAACAGGAAGTAATTATAGATAGGACTTTGTTATACGAACATTTGCCAACCAGCCAAAAGTTGCACAGCACCTTTTAACCTCTCAGTATAGCTCAGCCCATGCCATCCATTTTGAACAATAGATGGAAAACCCTTTTCAAATATATGTAGCTGTCAAGTACTTCTGAATTTTACTTATTTATTTCGGGTACTTCAAAGATGATATTAGTAATACATGGAAACCCAATCGTCTCCAATGGAATTTGTGGTTCAGTCAACGTAGAATACGCTTGCCTTGGGTATGGAATAGAATTCAGTTTATTTTTTGTGTGTTCTTTATAAATTATCGGTCGATCTTTCATCATTGTAAGTGACCGTTCCAAAGTTGAGGTAAGAGCAAGGGAATACTGGACAGTTCTTCTGAACTTTATGGAAACAAAGTTCAAATATGACCATTACGTATTTTGCATGTCCTCCTTTTATGGCATAACAAAGGTAAACCATTTCCATAAGGGTCTTAAGACCAATCTGAGGATATTTACCGAAGCAACAAACCAGTTGTTGCGACCGGATTTGAATGCGGGACAGAAAGGTTCTAAGTCTCTAATGATGACATTTTGACCAATAGCAAGGATGAACCAAAACTTAAGTCGCGTTTCTAATATTACTCTTAGACAGCTGAGACTATTATCCATAGATTAGAGATATTCCGTTTCCACCGAACACAATATTTTACCGGTTGCACAACTCTCAGAAGCCACTACTTACTGTTATCAAGCAGGAATATCTGCGAAAACTACCTGTAGATTATTTCCTTGCATTCCGATCCCTATCAGTAACAGTTCCGTTGTTTCTTTGAGAGAACACCCATGGATTGCGTCAATGTGAGTAACATTTACGTGGATAAAGCAATGCAGTTTAACTGTCGACGTTGTTTTTTGGAAGCAAATTGACAACAGCCACCTTTGTAAAATTCGATTCTCTTTTAGAAGGATAAGTTATATGCCAAAAGTACTGCTTTTATAGCCTTTTCTATTCGGAAACGTCATTATTATGACTGTTTTGAAAAATAGTTACATTAAATCAATCTTGTACTTGTACCATTAGGTTCAAGGTTACACTCGTGGCACTAAGTTAAACTTTATTTTCCCCTATCTTCTGTGCGGATTCGTTTTGGCCAAGTTCACCTTCCCCTAGTTTTGTCAAACAGTATTCGGTTGCGTGAATGATCTTAAAATGCTTCGGCCACACTTTTCAGTTGTAGACTGATTCTCAATTTAGAATTAATGGTGTCACTGGCATCGTGTATAAGGTAAGAAAGGAATCGATTATTACCACGGGTTTTATTCAGTTGCCTAGGGAAACATAACGGGAAGTTCTGAGCTCCCAATCATCACGGATAACAGGTCGTACACGGGTAATAATACTACGGTGTTACTGATTAGGTAAGTTCCATACATGAGTTTATACTAGAAGAGAAAGAAAAAGAATTTCGAATATTAAAATCGCATTATTCCTATTCCCGACAGTTTTAAAATAAGTAAGAAATTTATTGTAAAATCTCCAAGGGGTTTTTGAACAACTTGCCGTTTATCTGTGTCAGTGGTAAAATCAATTAGATAGAAGATTTGCGGAGCAATAAATGAACGTCAGTGCGCAAAGAAATTGAATTTCCGGTACATTTACATTCATTTTTGGTTATTTTCTAGATCTTTTTGAAAGACAGTGCAATTTAGCTTAGTTTCTATAGCATTCTTCATTGAAATTTCATCATTTTGATGCAGTCAGTTCTCGTGCTCATTGATGTCCTAATACTTATCATTTTTTGAGAATACAAAGGGCAGTCTCGCCAAACAGAGTCGAAAAATATTCAGAATAACTGATTCCTCAGAAACAAATTTCTTCCGCCCACTTCTGGAAACTGATTACAACAAATCTAATCAAACCAAACAGTCGGCGCACAAAAACATTTTATTTACTGGGGGATTTGGGATGATACTGGGCAACAACTAGGTCTAGACTACGTGAATCGCTTTGAAGTGCAATTTAAAAAAGTACAAAAACGCTTACACGTTTTAGTTTGTTCGCTATTTGGGAGTAAAACACTGCTGGGATGATGTGGCTGTTTCTAAGGCAGCTCTTGGATTTTTACGTGAGTATTGTGCTGCGTTCATCAGACAGAACTTTAAACCTGGATGCATGCTACTTCATAGAAAATCCCACTATTTGAGAACATCGAA